TCTTCTTTGAGGTTTTTTAGCAAATTTATATACGTCATTAGAGCACTTAGTACAGATTTTGCGAGTGTTTTTCTTATGTATACACAATGGATAAGATAGAGATGATGTGTACGTCTAGGAAACCTAGAAAAGAGGTTTGTCTATTAGATTTTCTATTCGGGTTTGAGTATCTTCTTGCGTATCTTCCTTCCGTAACAATATAAAATGAAAACAACACACACGATTCGAAATGAATTGAACACTACGCCAACCATGAAATTTAAACACTTGAGGTACAGTTGTTTTATGACAAAGTATATTTTATCTTTAAAACAAAGTTCAAATTGAGGACATAATTTATAACTTAAATTTCAAAAAGAGTTTTTTGATCAAAAAGTGAAAATAAATTTTATCTTTCTTATTTTAGAGCAGACTTCTTGATCTACGGTTTGATGCAAAACTTTTTTATATTTATCCCTTATTTTGAAAACAGGCTATCGATTAGTAGAAATAGTACAGAGTAGAGAGATAGTCTCATTATACTAATGGCCACTCGTATTACTTTTTTCATACATTAAAAGATGAAGTTTCTAAAGAAATTTATTATGCTACGATAAAAACATCTTTCTCTTATATAAGTACCTAAATCTTTAAACCAAACATTTCTTTCTATTCTTGCCAAAGTCCACCAGAGTATAGATAATAAAATTTTATGTCTTCCTTTAAATAGTTTTTGGTCAATCATGTATAGACGCACTCTCACGTAAAATCACATCCAAATGCGTCTAAACAGTATTATTACCTGCGTACAAACGCGGTTCCATAAAAAATGCGTTAAGCGACGGCGCAGATCTCCATCTGACCGCGTCTTGATGCGTTCTATCTTAAACCGCATCCAAACGCGCTTGAAAAATTTTAATAAAACGCGTTTTCATGCGGTCTCGTAAAAAATCGCGTCCAGTCGCGATTCAAAATCTCCTGCGGCTGCGTCTAGATGCTTTTTTATTTTTGGTCGCGTTCAGACGCGAATAGAAATCGATTGTAACCTCGTCCGAACGCGGTTTCATTTACAATCGCGTCCAGATGCGTTTGAAAATTTTCTTCAGTTGCGTATAGACGCGACTGTAAAAGAAACCGCGTTCAAACGCGGTGAAAATCGATTTTTACCGCGTCTGAACGCGTTTTCATTTGCAATCGCGTCCAGATGCGTTCGAAAATTTTCTTCAGCTGCGTATAGACGCGATTGTAAATGAAAACGCGTTCAGACGCGCTAAAAATTGATTTTCACCGCGTCTGAACGCGT